AATACACGTAATCATAATCACTAATTTTGGTGACCATTTTTAAAATTTATTAGCCAATCATAACGAACTTCACCTATACTAATTCAGATGTACTATAGTAGAGATTGTGATCCGTTATCGATTTCCTATTTAAAATGATATTAGATTCTACGTAATAATTTTGCTTTAATGAATATCCGAATCGCGTCCCTATAATAGTCGATCTACAGTGAGAATTCTTCATTGAATTTATTTTCATTATTTAATTAATTTAATTGTAGTATCAACAAGTATAACCAAATTCTTTAAATAGGACATTATGAATTTCATAGAAGAGCACCATTCTCTTTCTCTTTTATTAAATAATCCACAAGCAGTCTTAGATAAGTTAAATATAAATGTAATTTATTTTAAATATTTAATTTGTATATATATTTATTATATTCAATACTGCCAGAGAAAAAAAGAATATTGAAAAAGAAAAATATTAAGATCTGCTTTTGTATTCCCCATACAATTTATCTTCAGAACATAATGTTATAACTCTTAATTTACAACCTCTTTTCTATTTTGAAACACAATACTACCTTTTATCGGCTTAGGTACATGTCCAATAATACCTCTTTCAACCTCAGCTTCGATTTTAATGTCATATTTTAGCATAATTTTATGTAATAACATTTTAATCTCATTAACGGCTAGAGATCTACCCGGACATGCATGTTTTCCGAGTCCAAATACCAAATACTTACGTTCAACTTTTGTTGCAGGAGAATTATGACGATACGCGTAGAATTCTTTAGGATTTTGACCTTGAAGTTCTTCATCATGATGTGTGTCAACAACGTTTAGATAGACTATGCGACCTAAAATTTTAAATAATTAGGAATATACATGAGAATTGTTATTGTTTGAAAATTAAAAGAATAACAAAAAAGAAAAAAAAATTACCATTTGGGACTTGACATCCATTCGCAAACGTATAATAAGGCTTAGAAATACAAATATGTGGCAAACTAAGTGGACCTTTAAAAATTCTTAAAGATTCTTTAATAAAACTATCTAACTTCACCATTTTGGCGATATCATTAGATGTAAGCTCACATCCATTACACTGTTTATTAATTTCTTGAGCCTCTTGATATAAATCTTGCCAATATTGTTGTTTTCTTTCTATTAATTCTAATTTTCAAATAAAATATGATTAAAATAGAATTAAAGTACTTTTATAATGCTGTAATGAAAAAAAACTGAATATAACTAACCAAATAAAGTGAGATTAGCACCAAAAGTTGTAGTTCCTAAAGCAGCAAAAATAAAATCAGCTATCGCATCGGCAATATAAGCATAATTTACATTATTTGGATCGAGATCAGGAGTTATTACGGGATCATCTAAGTAACATTGTAATGCATCTAACTGATTTTTTATTAAAAAAAAAATAAAATAAAAAAAAATAAAAAAATGTTAAATAATTTAAATAATTACGTAATAATATATATACATTTATAAATAACTTACTGGAGCAACCCAAGCATCCCCTAATCTCTTTTTATCATTGAGACGTTTTTCGATGACCGGCTTAATACGACTGATAATTACTTTTCTATGTTTTGAAATCGGACTCCAACCAAACCTTAAAGGAATTCTGTTAGATAAGTAAAGCAATAATAATTAAGTAAAGTTTGAAATTAAAAAAAAAAATTAAAAGTAAAATGAAATAAACTTTACGTGACAAATTGCTGATGTAACCAGGGATGTATAAAGGATAATATTGGTGGTATAGAGAAAATTTTAAAAATTGAAGACGTTAAGCTTTTAAAAGTTTCCAATAAATCTTCATGATAGCAACAATCCTAATTTTTTTATTAAAATGTAATTAAATTAATGAAAAGAATTTTTATATAAAAAAACAATACATATACATACTTCACCAACAATAATATTAGCAATTGGAATTGCTATAATATCTGATATAATTTTAAATGGGTCATGAATAATCCTCGGTTCTAATAATTAATAAAAAATTATTTTTAAATCTTTCGTAAGAAACTTATAAGTTAAAAGCCTGAAAGTTTACCAGCACAATCACCAATATAAATATCTATGGCCTCAACAATGTTTTTTTGTAATCTACTTAAAAGATATTTTAATTTCCCGGTGATAAAGTCCCTTATTAATCTATGGTTTTTATTTATATCGGGGACATTCTTAAGTATATGATTTGCCGGTAATTGCTGTTTTTAAAATTGAAAAAATATTTTAGAATATATGGTAATATAATATCCGAAAGGCTATTGCATTCGCTAAAGGTTTCTTAATTACCAAGTTGGCGGCTTCCTTAAAATCAAACTCTTGATCTTTTGTTAATACTTCGTAAGTTGTTTCCTTTCCGACTACGGTTATTATTTGACCGTATACATATAAAGAAAATGTCTCTCCATACTATTATTAAGAGATTATAATTTATTAGATCATGAAAGAATTATTTATTTTATTTATTATTTTTTTTTTTAAAAAAAAATAAAAACCTTTTCTCGAGATTCTAAAATTAATTTTTCGCAGTTCGTTAAATAACTCCATGTATGCCCGATAATTGGAAATCGATAATAAGCAAGTGGTGGCTCATTCTAAGAAAATTAACCTTTGCATTAATAACATAATTACGAATTAATATTATATGAGAAAACTTACTAGTTTGGTTCGTCTTGATAGTTTGAAATAAACTACTACTAAGATTAATCCTATAATTAATGATTGGATATAGATGTTTTCTAATGAGATTTCAATCATTTTTTCCAGGTTAAATTTTTTTTTTTTCTTGAATATTATCGTGTGCTTACTTCGAGGTTAATATATAGATTTTATGCCTACTTCAGGCAGCGATGTCATAGGACAGAATAATTCACAATTTTATAAAGATGACCTATTTTAATTTCTAAATATGTATTATAAATTTATTTTAAAAATCTTTAACTTATTTAGAATTAAACCGAGAATAATTTTATATAAATTTTATTTCAGGTGCTTCTGGCATGTTTGGAAATTAAGCTTTGCATATCAGCACAGTTGTACGAGTGTGCGGATAATTAAGTATCCGAGAATAAACGATGTACCGAAATGTGGTTCACCGACAATCATTTCACCGGCAGCCGACTTTGAACAAGATTTGTAAAAAAATTGACTTTCTTAACTGGTATTCCTCTAATAAGACAAGTTATAGAAAATAATTTTTCTGTTACATTTTCTGGTAGAAGTTTTAGCAAATAAGAATGTTAATCGGTCCTATATTATTGTAATTTAAATATACTGATTAGAGACCGATCAGCTAAATTTTCTCCACGACCTACGTAATTGATCTCATCTAAATTATTCAGAAAAAGCTAATAAGATTTTTAATTTAGTAAATTATCAGATATTTCGATTTGAAAAAAGTTCTTTAAAAATTCTATGTTCTAAAATTAGAATATTGTCCAATCAAATTAAATTTGGATTGGAATAAATTACATATATACGTATCGGTATGTACGTATAAAAACCCATTATTATATGATGTAATAATTCTAAAAATAAATTGATAAAAATTTGTGCAACACAAACATTAATCGAAAACTCAAACTATCCGTTAAAGACTGGTTTTCCCCATTTAGCCTACACCACATCAAGTGGTAATTTACTAAAAATATATACCTGCAATTAATCAATGCTAATCTTAACCAGGAACGGAATGAAACGAAGAGTATGTTTTTATCTGCAAGTTAAGTGCTATGAATCTTTTGCGTCTGTTTGGATGATCCACGAACTAGTATTCTCCCACAAAAAATTACTATATTTTCGAGAAAGCGATTATTCGCATTTTTCTATTGCAAAGAACCCGACCAAACGATTTGGAAGCTAATTAACACGAACGATAATTGTGACTTTAATCCAAATATGTACTTGTATGCCCTTTTCTTATTAAAAAAAAAAAAACTTTTCAAAATGGGTTTTATATTAAACTAGACATTCATTCAATGAATCGGAGGTAAAATTTTAAACGTTACCATTTTGTTAAAAAAACCAGTGACAACTTTTTTCTTCAAAACTTACCATTGATAAAGGTTGATCAAGAATTACTTTTACATTTTTACATATTAAGCATAATAAACAATGAATTTTCGATAAATCTCTAACCGATCCAAATAAAATTATCATCTTATTTTTATAGCTGTTTTTATAAATTCTGGAACAAAAAAATTGCCAATAACTGAATTGATAAGTTACCAAGTTTGAATTAATAAGTAGCTAACTTCGGAAGTTTATTGATTCGGTTACCAGAAATTTTTTCAGTTGTTCCGGAATTTATGAAAACAGCTGTAATGCTCTATTTCCATCCAGGTGACTCATGAATCCACCCGACGGGTTGCTTTTTTAACCCACCCGGGTTTTACCCGGGTGGCGTTTTTTTTGACGGGTCCAATCACGAATACTGATATTTTACCGATATTTTTGATTTCAACTAGTGATGCTGAATCTATTGGTTTATTAATGATAGAATTAGCATTAATAAGAATATTAACGCGTTGTACTGTATATCTTAGTCTTCAAATAGCAATAAATCTCTTGATAAGTCATATATTTGGCGTCTATTTTATCTGCCAAACTCACTAAAGTTATAGTCTTCATACTATAACTCGCATGTCCTGAATTCTTTAAAAGGTGAATTCCAGGTGAAATAATGAAATAAATACTGGCAAGATTGATGATGTGAGACCGAAAACCATGATCGATCACGTGAAAAATGCACGAAATGCAAGAAGTGCAAATACTTACATTTATGATCGAAAAGGGTATTTCGGA